CAACTCCCAATCGGTGATGGGGCAGTTGTGGAGAGAGTGGAGAGTTTCCCATACCTGGGCAGTGTGCTTATGACTGGCTCCAGTTTAACAGCAGAGGTCTCACTCCGAATCAGTCGAGCGGCAATATCTTTTCATCGGTTGCGTAACGCTGTGTGGAAGCTACCTGGTCTGTCGCTCCGCACTAAGCTTCAGGTCTTCTCGGCCACGGTCATTCCCTCCCTTCTCTACGCTTGCGAAACGTGGACCCCCCTAATGGAACATCTTCGCCGGTTAGAAACATTTAGGCTGGCCTGCCTACGATCCATCCTGGGTTTAACCAGACTGGATTGTGTGAGGAGCTCACAAATCCTTGAAAGATCTGGGCAGGGTCCCATCGGTGAGCTCCTCCGGCAGGCAAGGCTGCGATGGCTGGGTCATGTAGCCCGCATGCCCAGCCACCGCATGCCGAAACAGCTTTTGTTTGGCCGGATTGAGGGGGCTAAGCGGGCGCGGCACGGGCTAGAGAAGAGACGGAGTGATGTGGTACAGGAGGACGTGGAGCTGAGTGGACTTGCCGATGACTGGTACCAGCGGTGTCAAGATCGGCCTCTGTGGAGGAGGCTCGTGAAGGATGCTACTGGGCAGTTGGAGGCAGTCGCCCTCCAACAACAACGGAGGGCGGAGGAGCGACGCTCACAACAGCGAGCGGAGCGCCGGGTGCCTAAAGCACAGCAGGTTGGCACAGTAGGGGGCACAGGTGGTGCATCAGCCAGTCATCTCAGTCAGTCGACCCGTGGCACCTGGGTCTGCCCCGTGACCTCCTGTCAGCGGGCGTTCGACACTTCACGTGGCCTCAGGGTGCACATAGCCTGGCACAAGCGTCGTGGTGACGTCACCGCCACTTAGTGGCGAATGGCGGTTGTTGTTGTTGTTGTGTGTGAGTATCTGTGTCTGTGTGTGAGAATCTGTGTCTGTGTGTGAGTATCTGTGTCTGTGTGTCAGTATCTGTGTCTGTGTGTGAGTGTCTGTGTCTGTGTGTGAGTATCTGTGTGTGAGTATCCGTGTCTGTGTGTCAGTGTCTGTGTCTGTGTGTGAGAATCTGTGTCTGTGTGTGAGAATGTATCTGTGTCTGTGTGTCAGTATCTGTGTCTGTGTGTCAGTGTCTGTGTGTGAGTATCTGTGTCTGTGTGTGAGTATGTGTCTGTGTGTGAGTATCTGTGTCTGTGTGTGAGTATCTGTGTCTGTGTGTCAGTATCCGTGTCTGTGTGTCAGTATCCGTGTCTGTGTGTCAGTATCTGTGTCTGTGTGTCAGTATCCGTGTCTGTGTGTCAGTATCTGTGTCTGTGTGTGAGAATGTGAGTGTGTGAGAATCCCTGTCTGTGTGTGAGTATCTGTGTGTGAGAGCGAATGTGTGTCTGTGTGTGTATCTGTGTCTGTGTGTGAGTATCTGTGTGTGTGTGTGTGAGAATCTGTGTCTGTGTGTGTATCTGTGTCTGTGTGTGAGTATCTGTGCGTGTGAGAGAGAGTGTGTGTCAGTGTGTGTGGCTGTGTGGGGAGCGGTAGTGTAGGGGTTAGCGCTACGCTGCGCTACGAACCCGGCAACCCGGATTCGATTCTCGCTCACGGCCAACACCGGTGACGATTATCTCTGAACCGGTCCTGGGGCCTTCCCCGAGATCGACTTAACCCCACTTGGTAGAGCGACAGTGACACCCAGACCAGGGGCTCGAACTCAGGTTCACAGTGACCACTGGCTCTTATAATGGCCATTGTGTGCCCCTTGGTATAGCGAGACCACGTGGTGCGTCAAGTGCCACGTGGCGTAGCACGTGCTGATTAATTGTGTTCGGTTATTTGTTGCTGGTGGTGACTTTGTGTGTCTCGTATCGAAATCGGCTCCAGTGCTGTTGCTGCTGGCAGCAATGAAAGTGGTTTTAAAGTAAACAAAAAGTTGATCTCTGTCTCTCTCTCTCTGCCTCTCTCTCGGGAAGTTCATAATTTTGCTGCTTATAAATGTCCACGTGATGACGATAAACCGCCACTTCATTGAGCCGTCATTTCTGAAAAAGAAACTACGTAACTATACTTATTGTTTTTTTCGGTAAAGTCACGTATATAGAAATAAAATAAAATTAAACTAAATCAAAATAAATCACGACGTTTCAAACGAAACACAAACGATCATCATCATCTGTTCACTCTGTCTATGCTGGTTTGTTCAGCCCAGAAGATGAACACGAAATTTAGCAGTCTTTTGAAATACGTGGCCAAGCAGGTTAGTGTGTAAGTGTATTGTTGGCCGACTGGTTTTGCATCACGTTATGTTCCTAAGGTTTGTTGAGTTTTCGTCTCTATTGAACCGGACCTGGATCTTGTGTTTGTTTAGAAGTTTGGAAATATTTTTGGTAACGCCTGCTATGTATGGTAACAAACACAAGATCCAGGTCCGGTTCAATACAGTACACAAAATCCGTGATCTGATCCCATCCGTAAAGGATGCCATTCCTGACTGAGTTGTACCTGCGGTGACTGCTATATCGAGGAGACGAAACGACATGTTTCTGACCGAATTCGCGAGCACAAATCAGATTTGAAACACGGCAGAACGAATTCTTCGGCCGTGGCTGATCATTGTTTCAACACAGTGGGTTCTCATGACATTGTTTTCTCCGATGCCAAAGTACTCTGCAAACCTCCCGGATACTACCAAATAATTTGTCCATGAAGCCATCCAGATATACAAACATAGACGCAACTTCAAACCGAGAGGATGGTTTTAAATTGAGCAATCATTGGAAAGATGGCATCAACCAAGTCAACCTTTAGCTGCCTTATAATTGTACAGCCACTTCCATTTCTTCCCCCTTAACCTGTATATATAATATCGGGTATCTTAGAGCTCTCTTCACTTGATGCAGCTATTCTGCTGTGACTGTTCCACCTGAAGATGGAAGCTTGTGTTGCCTCCGAAACGTCGTGATTTAATTTAATTGTTTTCATTTATTTTATTTTACCTACGTGACTTTACCGGGGAAAAAAAACAAAGCGTATAGTATGGGTTTCTCTCCTGGATCTGCAACGTCTTCCTCACTCTCTGACTTGCTGCTCTCTTCTAAAGACGGCTGCTCTCTCTCTCCGAAGGAGTGGGTACGGGGAGCTCATGGCAGTGTGGCACCGGGGTGATGGATGAAGGAAGGTCCGGATACGTGATAGCAGGTGCATTCTTGCCAGTCCGACGTTTGGAAGGGTCCACCATGCAGAAGTAGCAGTTGCTTGAGTGGTGGTCAGTGGGTTCCCGACAAATTCTTGGGATAGTGAACTTCATGGCTCTCTTTTCAACCTCTATACATCCTACAAAAATGCATTTATTTCACCCATGACTAATGTGTAAGAGAATCTCATAACATTTTTCATATATGATATATATTTTTTTCAATAACATTGAAAATTTTAGAACATTAAAAAAAATGTTAAATAACTTTTAAAATGTTAACAAATTTTAAAACATAAAATTCCAAGCAACAATTGTCCATCTTACCTTCCAGAGTCTTTTTTGCATTGCTCGCAGGTGAAATGAGGTGCCCAGGGTTTGTCTTTATCCCCGACAGGCATGCCGAAATATGCCTTGTAGGCCTCACACATCATAGCATATACTCCCACAGAGTACTTTCTCGCTCTTGTCTTGATAAATTGGCCGCAGACATAGCAAAATGTGCCTGACAGATGCTTGCAGCCTCTTGATGCCATCTCAGAAAAATGCAGATATGTAGCCACTTAGGCAGCTGCAACTAAACTGAACTGAATTTTGATTTAAAGCTTTCGTGACCGCAGGGATTCATATTCTTGGTTCTTTCAGTAAAGTCACGTACAAGGGAAACAGTAAAATAAAAATATATATAAAACAATAAAATTCTCACGACGTTTCGACTGCAACACAAGCAATCGTCATCAGGTCTGAAAACCACAACAACAAAATTGTATTGTTTCCCTTCTACGTGACTTTACCGAAAGAACCAAGAATAAAAACGGAACTGGTGGGCTTAAGGCCCCTGTATTTATACTACTATTTATATTAACGGAAAGTTTAGAATGTTCTCGAAGTTACTCCAAGTTTACTTGGCACTGAATCTATCTGGAATGTTCTGGAAAATAAGTACATTTCAAAATATCACTGTCCTGGTCACGAAAGCAAAGTTTGTGGGGAATAATATCCATTTTCTGTACTTTTGAGGCATAACCAATTATAAAATAACACTTCCTACCCAGGAACAAGAGTAACTTTTGTTACAGTGTGATGGCCGTGGTCACGATCAAGGAGCCACCTCATGTCTCTTTCCACCCCCCCCCCCCCCCCCCGTGGTTCACTTTGGCCGTGTCAGAGTCACCGAGGTAACCCCTCGGAGATTGTTGTTGATGTTGACAATACACATCTTGATGTTGCTTTTGATGACGATGATGTTGTTGTTGATGTTGTTGATGTTGACAATACACATCTTGATGTTGCTTTTGATGATGATGATGTTGTTGATGTTGATGTTGTCGATGTTGTTGATGTTGACAATACACATCTTGATGTTACTTCTGATGCTGATGATGTTGTTGATGTTGTCGATGTTGTTGATATTGACAATACGCATCTTGATGTTGCTTTTGATGATGATGTTGATGTTGTCGATGTTGTCGATGTTGTTGATGTTGACAATACCCATCTTGATGTTGATTTTGATGATGATGATGATGTTGTTGTTGTTGATGTTGTCAATGTTGTTGATGTTGACAATGCCCATCTTGATGTTGCTTTTGATGCTGATGATGATGATGTTGTTGATGTCGTCAATGTTGTTGATGTTGACAATACACATCTTGATGTTGCTTTTGATGATGATGATGATGTTGTTGATGTTGTCGATGTTGTTGATGTTGTTGTTGTCAGTGTTGTCGGGCTGTGCGTAGGCGGGCAGCTTGGGGCCTCGCGAGTGGTAACGCGTGAGAGGTAACGTGTCTCGTGTTGTTCATTGCAGAGCTGTGGCAAGGAGGAGACACTGCTGAGACACGTGACCTCTTCCATCATCACCACCATCATCACCACCACCACGACCATCATCATCATCATCACTACCGTCAGCATCACCACCACCACTGCCACAAGCACCATCGCCACAATCATCATCGTCATTGACACCGCTACCACCATCACCAGCATCACCGCCACTACCACCATCACCAGCATCACCACCACTACCACCATCAGCGCTGACCCTTGTCACCACAATGGAGATTTCCGTGCGGCCCGTGATGTTTGCCGCTCTTCACCTCGTGGCTTGTGCAAACGGTGAGTCATCATCATCATCGTCGTCATCATCGTCGTCATCGTCGTCATCATCGTCATCGTCGTCGTCATCATCGTCGTCATCGTCATCATCATCATCGTCATCGTCGTCATCGTCGTCGTCATCGTCGTCGTCATCGTCGTCATCGTCATCATCATTGTCGTCATCGTCGTCATCGTCGTCGTCATCGTCGTCGTCATCGTCGTCATCGTCATCATCGTCGTCATCGTCGTCATCGTCGTAGTCATCGTCGTAGTCATCGTCGTCGTCATCGTCAGCATGGCCACGGATGACAATCTCAACTAAGTCGTTTATCACGTGGAAATTGTCGTCATCATCATCACGATCCATGGACAGACAGCCCGCAGTGGGCGTGTCCACTGCACGTTTCGTCATTTGTGGTTTTCACTTTCCTCTCTGTCTTGTGCCAATATGCTCAAGTAATGGCCACATCATAGCAGTGTAGTGTATAGTGTAGTGTATAGTGTAGTGTATAGTGTAGTGTATAGTGTAGTGTATAGTGTAGTGTATAGTAGTGTATAGTGTAGTGTATAGTGTAGTGTATAGTAGTGTATAGTGTAGTGTATAGTGTAGTGTATAGTGTAGTGTATAGTGTAGTGTATAGTAGTGTATAGTGTAGTGTATAGTAGTGTATAGTGTAGTGTATAGTGTAGTGTATAGTAGTGTATAGTGTAGTGTATAGTGTAGTGTATAGTGTAGTGTATAGTGTAGTGTATAGTGTATAATGTAGTGTATAGTGTATAGTGTAGTGTATAGTGTATAGTGTAGTGTATAGTGTAGTGTATAGTGTAGTGTATAGTGTAGTGTATAGTGTAGTGTATAGTGTAGTGTATAGTGTATAGTGTAGTGTATAGTAGTGTATAGTGTAGTGTATAGTAGTGTATAGTGTAGTGTATAATGTAGTGTATAGTGTAGTGTATAGTAGTGTATAGTGTAGTGTATAGTAGTGTATAGTGTAGTGTATAGTAGTGTATAGTGTAGTGTATAGTGTAGTGTATAGTGTAGTGTATAGTGTAGTGTATAGTAGTGTATAGTGTATAGTGTAGTGTATAGTGTATAGTGTAGTGTATAGTGTAGTGTATAGTGTAGTGTATAGTGTATAGTGTAGTGTATAGTAGTGTATAGTGTAGTGTATAATGTAGTGTATAGTGTAGTGTATAGTAGTGTATAGTGTAGTGTATAGTAGTGTATAGTGTAGTGTATAGTAGTGTATAGTAGTGTATAGTGTAGTACATAGTAGTGTATAGTAGTGTATAGTGTAATGTATAGTGAAGTATATAGTGTATATTAGTGTATAGTAGTGTATAGTAGTGTATAGTGTAGTACATAGTAGTGTATAGTAGTGTATAGTGTAGTGTATAGTGAAGTATATAGTGTAGTGTATAGTAGTGTATAGTGTAGTACATAGTAGTGTATAGTAGTGTATAGTGTAGTGTATAGTGAAGTATATAGTGCAAGAGCATCATCATCACGATCCATGGGCAGACAGCCCGTAGTAGGTGTCCCACTTTACATTTCGTCGTTTGTTGTTTCCACTTTTCTCTCTGTCTCGTGGTGCCAATCGGCTCAAGTAGTAGCCACATCTCTCGGGGACCAATCCCACGTGATGATGATGTCATCGTCGTCAACCCATCATTCTCTCTTAGGTTCTTCCTCTCTTTCCCGAACAACAACAACAAACAACAACAACAACAAACAACAACAACAAACAAACAACACTCTTCTTGGCTCTTTCGGTAAAGTCACGTAGAATGGAGATAAAATAATAAAAATAAAATATAATAAAGTAAAATAAAAATTCTCACGACGTTTCGGCCACAACACAAGTAGCCTTCTTCAGATGAAGAAACAGGACTGTCCAGAAGACAGCGCTGTCACGTTTACCCCCCCCCCCCCCCACCAAACCCACGTCAAATTCTGGCTGTCCAACTGATGATGCTTGTTGCTGTAGGTGGTTGTTGTCATTACCGGCGGAACGTCACGGCTACTCGAATTGCAAATGCTGTAGTGGGTTTTACTCTCCAACACACGACCGGTGTGTGCCCCACTAGTAACGAATTGGCCACGGTTTTGTGAATGTCACACAACCTTTGCTTAATTGGCTGTCGGGTGGTGGTGGTGGTGGTGGTGGCAGGTTTAACGACACATTTATATCCAGGCGACCTAACCCAAAAATAAATCTCTATCATGGCCCAGTGTGTCTCATCGGCAGCTTTCGGCGCGGTACGAGTTGTAGAGACGCCGAGAGGCGCTCTCCTCCACGGCAATCCCCTCGTTTAATGTGGTAGTCTTAGTAGTTATAGTCGTAGTAGTCGTAGTTGTAGTTAGTAGTAGGTAGTAGTCGTAGTAGTCATAGTAGTAGTCGTAGTTGTAGTAGTCATAGTTAGTAGTAGTCGTAGTAGACGTCATAGTAGTAGTAGTCATAGTTGTAGTCGCAGTAGTGGTCATAGTAGTAGTCGTAGTTAGTAGTAGTCGTCGTTGTAGTAGTGATAGTTGTAGTCACAGTAGTAGTAGTCGTAGTAATAGTAGTCGTCGTTGTAGTCGTCGTTGTAGTAGTAGTTGTAGTAGTCGTTGTAGTAGTAGTCATAGTAGGAGTCGTCGTAGTCATAGTAGTAGTTGTTGTAGTAGTCGTAGTAGTCGCAGTACTCGTAGTAGTAGTCATAGTAGTAGTAGTAGTCGTTGTAGTAGTCGTAGTAGTCGCAGTACTCGTAGTAGTAGTCATAGTAGTCGTCAAAAGTGCCGCTGTTAAGCGTAAGAATGACGCCCCGCACCGAATCGCTTCGCGCCGAAGTCCATCCCGTGGCGGGACACAAAGGAACTGAAACGAAGGTACGCCACTGCGCACCGTACCGTTCCGCGTACTCTATCACTGTACCGCTCAAGAAAGTAGTTCGTCGTCGTCGACCACTTGGAAACTGCGTGGTAACGGTGCGCGCGTTTTGCGTTACAACTGCGACTTCCACGTTATTATATTACGTTTTTCCATGTTACAACTGTGTGCATTCCACGTTGTAACGGTATGCATTTCACGTCATGACTGTGCGCATTCCATGTTATGACCGTGTGCGTTGCGCATTATAACCGCGTGTGCTTCGCGTTATAACTGCGAGTTTCGCGTTGCAATGGTGCGTTTTCCCACGTGCAGCGTCAATGATTCGGAGACGAGGTTCGTGGGAGGCACCTTCCTTATTGTAACATTCACGGTCTGCTCTAACACTCTCGACAGCCGCTTAGCCTGTACACAACACGGGCCGCCTAACGCCGACGGCGTTGGCTGAGGCAGCCAGCAACCGTCTGGCAGCGCAATGTGCAGCGAAGACGGCGACGAGTTCCAATCCCAGAACCGGCAGCCCCGAGCTCCCCGCTCTCGGCTCCTTTTATGCTCCCGCCCTGGCCGCGCCTCCCTTCCCGAACCCGCTAGCGGGGTCCCAGGTGCCTCCGAGTAGAGTCCTCCGTGACCCTTGCTCTAGCTCCTCCGCCCTGCCAACACAACCGCGCTCACGCTCACCGGCGTGCGTGCTCCGTCCACCAGCCGGCGCCATTACACTACGCATGCTGTAACTGTGCGCATTTCGCGTCATGGAGGTGCGCGTTCCCGTGTCGTAACTGCGCACGTCCCGGGCTATAACGGCGTTCCGCGCTATAAAAGGTGTTGCCTTGTGGTTGGCAGTGCGAACACCGCGCGTTAAGCGAGGACTTTCACGTGCACGGGTGACCTCACGGGTAGCTTCACCTGTAGAGGTGATAGTCAACTATCCGGGCAGACCTCACTTAGCGCTCAAGATGCGCTGATCCTGATCGTGATCCTGGAGGAGGGAGCGCGAATTGAGTCCGCGTTAAAATAAAAGGGGCCATTATACCATCGTATAGACAGTGCTACAGTGCTCTTGTTGTTGTTCTTGTTGTTGTTGTTGTTGTAATGTCCCGGTGATGTTTGCAATCCAGAGGTGGCAACTCCAGCATCGACTGGTGCAGTTGCACCGCCTGCGTACTCGTCAGCTAATGCCACTGCCACCCCTTCTCTCCCCCCCCCTCTCTCCTCTCTCCCCCACCGCCCACGTGACTCCGCCGCGTCTCGTGCCTCTCAGCGTACTTCACGACGCTGCCCCGGGACGTGACCGCGAGCGAGGGTCACGACGTGTTCATGACGTGCGAGTACCGGGCCCGCGCCGCCGCCTCCGGCGGCTCCATCGAGATGCAGTGGTGGCACCTCCGCGACGCCGCGGGCCCGGCGGGGGGGCCCGGGGGAGGCGGTGGGGGGGGGCCCCCCCCCCGCGGTGCCCACACGCCCACTCGCCTGCAGGTTGCGCCTTCGCCCGCTGGCTCACCTGCACGCTCACCTGCACATTCGCACGCACGTTAGCTCACCTGCACGCTCACCTGCACGTTAGCTCACCTGCACGCTCACCTGCACGCTCACCTGCACGTTAGCTCACCTGCACGCTCACCTGCACGCTCGCACGCACGTTAGCTCACCTGCACATTAGCTCACCTGCACGTTAGCTCACCTGCACGTTAGCTCACCTGCACGCTCACCTGCACGCTCACCTGCACATTAGCTCACCTGCACGTTAGCTCACCTGCACGCTCACCTGCATGCTCACCTGCACGTTAGCTCACCTGCACGCTCGCACGCACGTTAGCTCACCTGCACGCTCACCTGCACGTTAGCTCACCTGCACGCTCACCTGCATGCTCACCTGCACGTTAGCTCACCTGCATGCTCACCTGCACGCTCACATGCACGCTCACATGTTCGCCCGCCCACGAGCTCACCTGCACGCTCGCATGCACGCTCACACCTCCTCTCACCGCCTTTCGCTCCGAATCGACGGAGTTCGTCCCGGGCCGCGCGGCGGTGTTGCCGGCCTCCAGGGAGGAGGCGGTAGTAGGCGGCGGCGGCGAGGTTCGCCCGCGCGCGCGCCGTTTGCCTTTCCTGCGGCGTACAGCGCGCGCCGCAGCGGTGACCGGGGCGGCCCGTCGGTTCCGAGCCGCGAGCGGCCGGCGTCGCGTCGGGCGTCGAGTGAATGTGAGAGTGCAAACCGCCCGCTGTCTGACTCGGCATCTCTCGTTTGTCTTTGTCGGGTTTTGTTCACCTCCGGATGTCGAAAAACATGTGGAGGCTACCAAAATCAGCGTAAGTTCGCCTGTGCCTGCCCGTCTTGAGTCTCTGGGGTTTTAGCGGTGCAAACCACGTAAGCCGCGTGTATGCACTGCCGGATGATCCTAGCAGCACAAGTAGCTACAAATGCTAGGGGCCCCCGCAATTTCAAGGGCCCCCGTGCTAAATTATTTCAAGCTATCAAACTCCGGTTCGGTGATTCTGCACTTGCTCTATCACTATAGTACTATACCGCCTTTGACTGTTGTGAAGAACGACCGGGTGTTTAAGGTTAGCGATCTGTCGTATTATCTGGCCATATAGCGAATGAAAAAATACAAGTACTATTACTATGCAAGGTAAACATTTATGTGTTTTAATATTTTTATTTTATTTAGGGTCCCTTTATAACATCCTGCTACAGGCCCCCCACTAGCTTAGTCCGGCACTGTGTGTTTGATGCGTGCTGGGACTTCTTTCGCACCGTGCGTAGCCGCCAACCCGTGCCAATCGAAGGTCCTGGTGGTGGTGGTGGTGATGGTGGTGGTGATGGTGGTGATGATGGTGGTGATGGTGGTGGTGATGGTGATGATGGTGATGGTGGTGATGGTGGTGATGGTAATGGTGGTGATGATGATGATGGTGGTGATGATGGTGATGGTGGTGGTGATGATGGTGGTAATGGTGGTGATGATGATGGTGGTGATGATGCATCGATTCCAATATTGCTACGAGGGTGATTGCGAGTGACAGTAGCAGCTTGCTGCAGCTTTGTTCCCGTGTCTCCCTGTCTCCCCGTGTCTCCCTGTTTCTCCGTGTCTCCCAGTGTCTCCCTGTGTCTCCCCGTGTCTCTCTGTCTCCCCGTGTCTCCCAGTGTCTCCCTATGTCTCCCCGTGTCTCCCTGTCTCCCCAGTGTCTCCCTATGTCTCCCCAGTGTCTCCCTGTCTCCCAGTGTCTCCCTATGTCTCCCCGTGTCTCCCTGTCTCTCCGTGTCTCCCAGTGTCTCCCTGTGTCTCCCAGTGTCTCTCTGTCTCCCCGTGTCTCCCAGTGTCTCCCTATGTCTCCCCGTGTCTCTCTGTCTCCCCGTGTCTCCCTATGTCTCCCCAGTGTCTCCCTATGTCTCCCCAGTGTCTCTCTGTCTCCCCGTGTCTCTCTGTCTCCCCCGTGTCTCCCTATGTCTCCCCGTGTCTCCCTATGTCTCCCCGTGTCTCTCTGTCTCCCCGTGTCTCCCTATGTCTCTCCGTGTCTCCCTATATCTCCCCAGTGTCTTTCTGTCTCCCCAGTGTCTCTCTGTCTCCCCCGTGTCTCCCTATGTCTCCCCAGTGTCTCCCTGTGTCTCCCTGTGTCTCTCTGTCTCCCCGTGTCTCCCTATGTCTCCCCGTGTCTCCCTATGTCTCCGCGTGTCTCCCTATGTCTCCCCGTGTCTCCCTATGTCTCTCCGTGTCTCTCTGTCTCCCCGTGTCTCCCTATGTCTCCCCAGTGTCTCCCTGTCTCCCCGTGTCTCTCTGTCTCCCCGTGTCTCCCTATATCTCCCCAGTGTCTCTCTGTCTCCCCGTGTCTCTCTGTCTCCCCGTGTCTCCCTATGTCTCCCCAGTGTCTCCCTGTCTCCCCGTGTCTCTCTGTCTCCCCGTGTCTCCCTATGTCTCCCCGTGTCTCCCTATGTCTCCCCGTGTCTCCCTATGTCTCCCCGTGTCTCCCTGTCTCCCTGTGTCTCCCTATGTCTCCCCCGTGTCTCCCTATGTCTCCCCAGTGTCTCTCTGTCTCCCCGTGTCTCTCTGTCTCCCCCGTGTCTCCCTATGTCTCCCCGTGTCTCCCTATGTCTCCCCGTGTCTCCCTATATCTCCCCAGTGTCTCTCTGTCTCCCCCGTGTCTCCCTATGTCTCCCCGTGTCTCCCTATGTCTCCCCGTGTCTCCCTATGTCTCCCCAGTGTCTCTCTGTCTCCCCCGTGTCTCCCTATGTCTCCCCGTGTCTCCCTATGTCTCCCCAGTGTCTCCCTATGTCTCCCCGTGTCTCCCTATGTCTCCCCAGTGTCTCTCTGTCTCCCCCGTGTCTCCCTATGTCTCCCCAGTGTCTCCCTGTCTCCCCGTGTCTCCCTATGTCTCCCCAGTGTCTCCCTATGTCTCCCCGTGTCCCCCTATGTCTCCCCGTGTCTCCCTATGTCTCCCCAGTGTCTCTCTGTCTCCCCCGTGTCTCCCTATGTCTCCCCGTGTCTCCCTATGTCTCCCCAGTGTCTCTCTGTCTCCCCCGTGTCTCCCTATGTCTCCCCAGTGTCCCCCTGTCTCCCCCGTGTCTCCCTGTCTCCCCCGTGTCTTCCTATATCTCCCCCGTGTCTCTCTATGTCTCTCTACCGTGTCTCCCCGGTACACGATGCGAGTGATTGGTTGCGACATTAGTAGCCTGCTGCAGCTTTGTCCCCGTGTCTCCCTGTGTCCCCATCCTGTCTCCGTGTGTCCCCCCGTGTCCCCCCGTGTAGACCGTGCGAGTGCTTGGCAGGGACATCAACAACACGCTCCAGCTGTCTCCCCGCGTGTCCCCCCATGTCACCACGTGTCACCCCGTGTGTCTCCCCGTGTCACCACGTGTGTCTCCCCGTGTCACCACGTGTGTCTCCCCGTGTCACCACGTGTGTCTCCCCGTGTGTCTCCCCGTGTCACCACGTGTGTCTCCCCGTGTCACCACGTGTGTTTCCCCGTGTCACCACGTGTGTCTCCCCGTGTCACCACGTGTGTCTCCCCATGTCACCACGTGTCCCCCCATGTCACCACGTGTCACCCCGTGTGTCTCCCCGTGTCACCCCGTGTGTCTCCCCGTGTCACCACGTGTCTCCCCGTGTCACCACGTGTGTCTCCCCGTGTCACCACGTGTGTCTCCCCGTGTCACCACGTGTGTCTCCCCGTGTGTCTCCCCGTGTCACCACGTGTGTCTCCCCGTGTCACCACGTGTGTCTCCCCGTGTCACCACGTGTGTCTCCCCGTGTCACCACGTGTATCTCCCCATGTCACCACGTGTCTGCCCGTGTCTCCCCGTGTCACCACGTGTGTCTCCCCGTGTCACCACGTGTGTTTCCCCGTGTCACCACGTGTGTCTCCCCATGTCACCACGTGTCACCTCGTGTGTCTCCCCGTGTCACCACGTGTGTCTCCCCGTGTCACCACGTGTGTCTCCCCGTGTCACCACGTGTGTCTCCCCATGTCACCACGTGTCACCTCGTGTGTCTCCCCGTGTCACCACGTGTCTCCCCGTGTCACCACGTGTGTCTCCCCGTGTCACCACGTGTGTCTCCCCGTGTCACCACGTGTGTCTCCCCGTGTCACCACGTGTGTCTCCCCGTGTGTCTCCCCGTGTCACCACGTGTGTCTCCCCGTGTCACCACGTGTGTCTCCCCGTGTCACCACGTGTGTCTCCCCGTGTCACCACGTGTATCTCCCCATGTCACCACGTGTCTGCCCGTGTCTCCCCGTGTCACCACGTGTGTCTCCCCGTGTCACCACGTGTGTTTCCCCGTGTCACCACGTGTGTCTCCCCATGTCACCACGTGTCACCTCGTGTGTCTCCCCGTGTCACCACGTGTGTCTCCCCGTGTCACCACGTGTGTCTCCCCGTGTCACCACGTGTGTCTCCCCATGTCACCACGTGTCACCTCGTGTGTCTCCCCGTGTCACCACGTGTGTCTCCCCGTGTCACCACGTGTGTCTCCCCGTGTCACCACGTGTGTCTCCCCGTGTCTCCCCGCGTGTCCCCCCGTGTAGACCGTGCGAGTGCTTGGCAGGGACATCAACAACACGCTCCAGCTGGCCCACGTGACCCCGCGTGACGCGGGCCTCTACGAGTGCCGCGTCAGTGACCGCAGCGGCGTGCGCGCCCAGGAGCACAAAGCGCGCGCCACGCTGCACGTGGGCAGCAGGTCGCAGCCGCGACGCGACTCGCAGGTGTGTGTAGGTGTGTGTGTGTGTGTACACTGTGTGTGTGTAGGTGTGTGTGTGTACATGTGTGTGTGTACACCTGTGTGTGTGTGTACACCTGTGTGTGTGTACACTGTGTGTGTGTGTACACTGTGTGTGTGTACACTGTGTGTGTGTGTGTACACTGTGTGTGTACACTATGTGTGTGTGTACACCTGTGTGTGTGTACATGTGTGTGTGTACACTGTGTGTGTGTGTACACTGTGTGTGTGTGTACACTGTGTGTGTACACTATGTGTGTGTGTACACCTGTGTGTGTGTGTACACTGTGTGTGTTTACACCTCTGTGTGTGTGTGTACACCTGTGTGTGTGTACACCTCTGTGTGTGTGTGTGTACACCTCTGTGTGTGTGTACACTAAGTGTGTGTGTACACTGTGTGTGTGTACACCTGTGTGTGTGTACACCTCTGTGTGTGTGTACACCCGTGTGTGTACACTATGTGTGTGTGTACACCTGTGTGTGTGTACACTATCTGTATGTGTACACCTGTGTGTGTGTGTACACTGTGTGTGTACATGTGTGTGTGTACACCTGTGTGTGTGTGTACACCTCTGTGTGTGTACACCTGTGTGTGTGTACACTATGTGTGTGTGTACACCTGTGTGTGTGTGTACACCTGTGTGTGTGTACACTATATGTGTGTGTACACTATGTGTGTCTGTACACCTGTGTGTGTGTGTGGGGAGCGATAGTGTAGCGGTTAGCGCGCTGCGCTATGAACCCGGCGACGCGGGTTCGATTCATGCTCACGGCCAACACCAATGACGATTATCTTAACCGGTCCCGGGCCTCCCCTAGGTCGACTCAGCCTCAAATTAGTAACTGGTGCAGTGTGTAAACATTGCCACTAGGGAGACAAAGGCGGTCGGGCGTGGTGCTGGCCACCCACCCCCTCGTGTACCGTTACCGGCCTTCATAGGTGCTCGCTAACAGCACTTGCCCCTACAGTCTGTTAAGGCTATATGGGGGATCTTTGTACACGTGTGTGTGTACACGTGTGTGTGTGTGTACACACACACACACACGTGTGTGTGTGTGTGTGTACACGTGTGTGTGTACACACGTGTGTGTGTGTACACGTGTGTGTGTGCACACGTGTGTGTGTGTACACGTGTGTGTGTGTACACCTGTTCAGATGCCTTCTATGACCTCCTGTCACAGGTGCTGGCTAAAGTGGCCCCTCGGGATAGAGTCATCTTGTTGGTTAACTTCAATGCCCGAGTTGGTCATGATGCTGGCACCTGGTCTGGAGTGATTGGAAGGCATGGGCCAGATCAGCTCAATAACAACGGTAGGAGGCTGCTAGATTTTTGTGCAGCCCATGGGCTTGTAATTACCAACACGCTGTTCCGGCATCGGCGCATCAACACAACATCATGGATGCATGCCGGGTCCAAGCAAGAACATCTGCTGGACTACATAGTGACGGACCAGCGGATGCGAGCCCATGTCCTTGACACCAGGACCTACCGTGGAGCTGATCTGCCCTCTGACCATCGACTAGTCATCTGTAAGTTGCGCCTGCCATTCTTCCACTCCGGTGGTGGGTGTACACCCAAGACCCCATTCCAACCTAAGGTGGCCTGGTCTCAGCTAGCTGATGGAAGTTGCAAGCGAGAATTTCATAATCACTTGCAGCTGATGTCGAGGGTAAATGGGCGAGGTTTAGGACTGTGACTCATGCAGCTGCAATGGCTGCTTTGGGTACGCGGTCCAGACCTCCCCAGAGACCCTGGCTGACAGAGGAGGTGTTCAGGCTGGATGAGAAAAAGTGACAGGCCCACGCTCATCATCTACAGCATCCCACGTCAGAGAATGAGAAGGCTTACCGCAGCCTTCGCTCGGAGGTTCCGAGAGCCGTGAGGCGCTGCAAAGATGGGTGGTGGTCGCGGGTTGCCGAGGAGATGGAGTCTGCCTCAATGGCCCGCGATCACAAATCTCTATTTAACTCCATCAAAAAAGTAACCTGCAGCGCCACACCTATTACCATCATTAGGGGAAAAAACGGTGATCCAATCTCCGGGGCGTGGAGCTGAGTGGACTTGCCGATGACTGGTACCAGCGGTGTCAAGATCGGCCTCTATGGAGAGGCTCGTGAAGGACGCTACTGGGCAGTTGGAGGCAGTCGCCCTCCAGCGCCGCTCACAACAACGAGCGGAGTGCCGGGCGGCTAAAACACAGCAGTTTGGCACAGCAGGGGGGGCACAGGTGTTGCCATCGGCCACTCATCTCAGTCAGTCGACCCGTGGCAACTGCCGGCTCTGCCCCCGTGTCGTCCTGCCAGCGGGCGTTCGACACTTCATGGAGGGGGGTGGGGTGAAGGGAGGGGGTATTCTGTGCCGTCACATTCACGTGACGTGACGTGCGGGCGGCCGCGTCATCACCGTGTTGACGACGTGGATTGCCGGTCGTCACGGTGCGAATCCTGACAGGTGCCGGAGGCGAGGCCGCTGACCAAGGGAGCGCCACCGCGCGCGGCCGCGGCACCCCCCACGTGGAACGCGACGACCACGGCGGCGGCGACGGCGGCGGCGGCGACGACGCGGCCGAGCAGCGTCCCACGGAACGACGGAGACCGCCGCGGGCGCTCCCAGCCAGCGCCCACGGCGGCACACGGGCAGCAGCGGCGGCGGCAATCCGGTATCCGCTCTACAAACGTGCTGGTGGCGATAGTGGTGGTGGTGATGGTGGTGGTGGTGATGGTGGTGGTAGTGCTGGTAATGTTGATGATGGTGGTGCCGTGCCAGCCTTCTCCCCAGTGACATCGCCACGCACACACAGACACGCAAAGACTGGGATCCCCCGTATAGCCTTAACAGACTGTGCGACACACGAGGGGGTGGGTGGCCAACACCACGCCCGGCCGCCTTTGTCTCCCCAGTGGCCATGTTTACACAGCACACCAGGTACTCATTTGAGGCTGAGTCGACCTAAGGGTGGCACAGGACCTGTACAGATAATCTGTTGGTGGCCGTGAGCGGGATTCGATCTCGGGTCGCTGGGTTAGTAGCGCAGCGTAGCGCTAACCCCTACACTACCGCTCCCCCAGCACAGGCATACGTACACATAGCAACACACTTAGAACTCACCACACATACCATACTCCACAGACACACACACATGCGCCCAAGTCAGGAATTGAACCCAGGTTACCCCGTGTTGCCTACACAGTCAAGTGCCCTGAGCAAGGCCTCTTTAAGGCCGCCATGGTACACTCACCATTATGAACCTCCTTATAGACAGCTAGACCCAGGGCTCGAACCCAGGTCCTCAACACTGCTGGTTCAGTGTCTCAGACACAGCCATTATGAACCCCCTTAGAGAGATACACACCCAGACCGGTTCAGAAAATCGTCACTAGTGTTGGCAGTGAGCGGGAATCGAACCCGGATCGCCGAGTTCATAGCGCAGCGCGCTAACCGCTACACTACCGCTCCCCACACACACCACAACAACAACAACAACCGCCATTCGCCACTAAGTGGCGGTGACGTCACCATGACGCTTGTGCCAGGCCATGTGCACCTTGAGGTCACGTGAAGTGTCGAACGCCCGCTGGCATGAGGTCACGGGGCAGACCCAAGTGCCACGGGTCGACTGACTAAGATGACTGAGATGACTGGCTGATGCACCACCTGTGCCCCCTACTGTGCCAACCTGCTGTGCTTTAGCCACCCGGCGCTCCGCTCGTTGTTGTGAGCGTCGCTCCTCCGCCCTCCGTTGTTATTGGAGGGCGACTGCCTCCAACTGCCCAGTAGCGTCCTTCACGAGCCTCCTCCACAGAGGCCGATCTGGACACCGCTGGTACCAGTCATCGGCAAGTCCACTCAGCTCCACGTCCTCCTGTACCACATCACTCCATCTCTTCTCTAGCCCGTGCCGCGCCCGTTTAGCCCCCTCGATCCGGCTGAACAAAAGCTGTTCCGGCATGCGGTGGCTGGGCATGCGGGCTACATGACCCAGCGAACGCAGCCTTGCCTGCCGGAGGAGCTCACCGATGGAGCTCACCGATGGGACCTTGCCCAGATCTTTCAATGATGTGTGAGTTCCTCACACAATCCAGCCTGGTTAAACCCAGGTTGGATCGTAGGCAGGCTAGCCTAACTGTTTCTAACTGGCGAAGATGTTCCATTAAGGGGGTCCACGTTTCGCAAGCGTAGAGAAGGGAGGGAATGACCGTGGCCAAGAAGACTTGAAGCTTAGTGCGGAGCGACAGACCAGGTAGCTTCCACACAGCGCTACGCAACCGATGAAAAGATATTGCCGCTCGACTGATTCGGAGTGAGACCTCTGCTGTTAAACTGGAGCCGGTCATAAGCACACTGCCCAGGTATGGGAAACTCTCCACTCTCTCCACAACTGCCCCATCACCGATTGGGAGTTGTGGGGGTGGAGTGTCCGATGGTACAAAATACCCAGGCAGGTGCTTAGTTTTGGTGGGGCTGATGGTAAGGCCCCATCTCTTAGTGGCACGCTCCAGTCTCAGCAGCAGCGTCTCCAACTCCTCTGAATGAGCAGCTATTACCAAACCATCGGCATACACAACGTGGTTGAGCAATAGGGAGCCATCCCTTGACTGCACCCGGGCATCGATCAGCCTCCCATTATATCTGTACCAAATGGAGATTCCCCCGGTACAGCTATTGAAGGCTTCACGAACTACGTGGTCAAAATAGATGTTAAATAATGTGGGAGCCAGAGGACATCCCTGTCGCACCCCAAGGTGTACAGGGAATGGCTCTGACTCCCGGCCACGTAGTTTTACCCGGGCCCGCTCACCATCATGCAGGTCCTTAATGATCGTGAGCAGAGGGTTAGGGACTCCAAAAGCGCGATAAATACCCCAGAGCCCAGGCCTACTGATGGTATGATAGGCCTTGACCAGGTCAATAAAGCAGAGATGTAGGTCTTGTGGGAATTCCCTACACCTCTGCTGTAGCAGACGGACAGAAAATATGGCATCTGTGCAGAACCGCCCGTTCCTGAAACCGCATTGGAGCTCCGCAAGCCTCTCCTCACCGTGCCTGGCAAGGCGATGTTGAATAATCCCTGCCAGGACCTTTCTCGGCACACTGAGGAGTGAGATGCCCCTGTAGTTGTTACAGTCTGTGCGGTCCCTCTTCTTAAAAAGGGGGACCACCAGGGCATCCTTGCAATCCTGCGGAACCCGTCCAGTGGTCCAGACTGTTGTTATGATGTCATATAGGGCAGTCTGTGCACAAACGCCACCCTCCCTCAGCATTTCGCTTGGGAGATCATCTCTGCCCGCTGCCTTTCCTGGTCTCAGACTCCGGATCGCCACTCAGTACTTCCTCAACAGATGCCACCTCAGCCAGCCACTCACAGGGGGTGACTTCTTCCAATATTTGAGGCACCGCAGCCTCAGCAGGGTAATCTTCACTTTGTGCCACGATGCTTTCCTGGCTGAGGGATTTTCCCTCCCCCAGGACCTCACAGAAATGCTGAGCAAATCTGCAAACCTGTTCCTGGGGGTCGGAGATTGGATCACCGTTTTTTCCCCTAATGATGGTCCGTCACTATGTAGTCCAGCAGATGTTCTTGCTTGGACCCGGCATGCATCCATGATGTTGTGTTGATGCGCCGATGCCGGAACAGCGTGTTGGTAATTACAAGCCCATGGGCTGCACAAAAAATCTAGCAGCCTCCTACCGTTGTTATTGAGCTGATCTGACACACACATACTGACACACACACACTGACACACACACATTTACACACACTGACACACACACTGACACACACACACTGACACACACACACACACTGACACACACACTGACACACACACTGACACACACTGACACACACACTGACACACACACTGACACACACACACTGACACACACACACTGACACACAAAGATAAAGACAAAGATCCCCCGTATAGCCTTAACAGACTGTAGGGGCAAGTGCTGTTAGCGAGCACCTATGAAGGCCGGAACGGTACACGAGGGGGTGGGTGGCCAGCACCACGCCCGACCGCGTTTGTCTCCCTAGTGGCGATGTTCACTGACACACACTGGCACACACACTGACACACACTAACACACACACTAACACACACTGACACACACAACAACAACCGCCATTCGCCACTAAGTGGCGGTGACGTCACCACGACGCTTGTGCCAGGCTATGTGCACCCTGAGGCCACGTGAAGTGTCGAACGCCCGCTGGCAGGAGGTCACGGGGCAGACCCAGGTGCCACGGGTCGACTGACTGAGATGACTGGCTGATGCACCACCTGTGCCCCCTACTGTGCCAACCTGCTGTGCTTTAGCCACCCGGCGCTCCGCTCGTTGTTCTGAGCGTCGCTCCTCCGCCCTCCGTTGTTGTTGGAGGGCGACTGCCTCCAACTGCCCAGTAGCATCCTTCACAAGCCTCCTCCACAGAGGCCGATCTTGACACCGCTGGTACCAGTCATCGGCAAGTCCACTCAGCTCCACGTCCTCCTGTACCACATCACTCCATCTCTTCTCTAGCCCGTGCCGCGCCCGCTTAGCCCCCTCAATCCGGCCAAACAAAAGCTGTTTCGGCATGCGGTGGCTGGGCATGCGGGCTACATGACCCAGCCATCGCAGCCTTGCCTGCCGGAGGAGCTCACCGATGGGACCCTGCCCAGATCTTTCAAGGATTTGTGAGCTCCTCACACAATCCAGTCTGGTTAAACCCAGGATGGATCGTAGGCAGGCCAGCCTAAATGTTTATAACCGGCGAAGATGTTCCATTAGGGGGGTCCACGTTTCGCAAGCGTAGAGAAGGGAGGGAATGACCGTGGCCGAGAAGACCTGAAGCTTAGTGCGGAGCGACAGACCAGGTAGCTTCCACACAGCGTTACGCAACCGATGAAAAGATATTGCCGCTCGACTGATTCGGAGTGAGACCTCTACTGTTAAACTGGAGCCACACTGACACACACACACACTGACACACACACTGATACACACACACTGACACACACACTGACACACACACTGACACACAAAAACAAAGATCCCCCATATAGCCTGTAACAGACTGTAGGGGCAAGTGCTGTTAGCGAGCACCTATGAAGGCGGTACACGAGGGGGTGGGTGGCCAGCACCACGCCCGACCGCCTTTGTCTCCCTAGTGGCGATGTTTACACACCGCACCAGGTACTCATTTGAGGCTGAGTCGACCTAGGGGAGGCCCGGGACCGGTTCAGATAATCGTCACTGGTGTTGGCCGTGAGCATGAATCGAACCCGGGTCGCCAGGTTCATAGCGCAGCGCGCTAACAGCTACACTATCGCTCCCCACAAACACACAAAAAAACACACTGACACACATACACACACACTGACACACTGACACACACACTGACACACACACTGACACACACACACTTACCGGCCGTATCAATCCCCTCCCGTGACCGCCAAATCCCCATCCGCTCCGAGCTTCCAGGAATTCGAGAGCAGCCCTTGATGTTGCCGAGCGGAACGTGCCGAGATGTTTACTCATCTTACACCCCCACCACCCCGCCCCTCCTACATCTTATAAAAAATATATGAATAATATATTTTAGTGATAATAATGAGGTGGAACGGCTTCAGACCGCCTCGCTCCGGCGTTTGTCGAAGTTTTCCGCAGGCTCGCTGCTTTGAAATGTTTCGACGCTTTGAAACAGCCCCTGTTATTTGTTTTGTTTGCGTTGTCGTGTCGTGTTGTTTATTTGTTGACTGCTGCCCTTGTTGTTGTAACTTTCTGATACCCGGCGGGCTGGCGGGGCGGGGGGGCGGATGTGCCCCCTCAGTTGTACATCTGTAAGTAACAACAGAAGCAAGGGGGCACGTCCATAAATGACGTCACGCGAGTTTGGACGATTTTTGAACCCCCCCCCCGCTTCGTCACACGACGTCACAAAAAGTCAGACCCCTCCCCCCTTAAATATGACGTCACAAAGCTCTACGCCACCCCCCCCCCCCCAAACAAAAATTTAAACATCATAGTTCATAGTTCCATTTATTTGGTATAGCCCTGTGAGCCATTCGGCTCTTGAATCGGGTGCAACCGCAACAAACAAAAAACATGAACAAGAAAACATCTTAAAGTGACTATGTGACTGTGCAAACAGAAAATCCAGGAAAAAATATCAAAATATTCCTGAAATAGCACCGTACATCAACGCTGTGTGCAAAAATCCCAGTGGGATGCAAGTCAAATAACAACAACCACAAGACAACTGAGATTAAGGCCATCAGTCTAACTCCGTACTACAATAAACAAAAACACGGCCAAAACAAAAAAACTTTTCGAAATCACCAAAATAAAGCCATAAATCCAATGTAACAGTGATCATAGGGACTGTGACCGAATTTTTAACAATAAACTACATAAATAAATTATAACACCAAAATCTAGAGCCATATTTTAGGCCACTGAATAGCAGTGGCACCTAGGGGTGTACAACTCCTCTAGAGCAGTTTTGAGTGAAGATCTCATAGGTAGTGATTCAAGTTGCAGTTTATTGGCAATAGCATTCCAGACCCTGGGGGCATCAATAGCAAAGGCCCTTCCTCCAGTTTTTGTACGGCAATAGGGAATGTGAAGCTGGTAAATGAGCGAAGACCTGAGGTCAAATTTGTTCTTTGAAACAGAGACGAGATCCAGCAGCAGGTGGTCTGTGGATTTTTTTGTAAGTACATCGTGAATAAATAAGATCTGGTGCACAAGCCGTCGAACATTAAGAGATGTTAAGTTTGACCCAATGTAGAGATCACAGTGGTGAGTCCTACATCGGCAGTTCGATGTAAATCTTAAGGCCGAGTGATAGATGGAATCAAGCTTCTTCAGTACAGTACTTGGGGCTGATTTATACACGATGTCACAGTAGTTAAGTAGAGGCACATGCTTCAAATCGCTTTAAACTATTGCCATTGTAGTGCGTATTTAATGTGGCGCTGCACTCTGATGTTGTAGGAGAAAACATTTATATATATATAAAAGTATATCTAATTACGTAGAACGTGTTGTCTATATTTATTTAAAGTTGCTCATTTTGATGTGACGTCACATTTCTCAAACACCCCCCCCCCTCCTCGTCACACATCGTCACAAATGTCTGACTCCCCCCCCCCTCCCCTAGGTGCGTGACGTCATTTATGGACGGCCCCCAAGTAAAAATATCTTCCATAATAGAGGTGTTTTTGGATCGCGATCTAATACCCCCCCAACCCCCCCCCCCCCCCTCTTGTAGATATTGACATTGGTCGCGAAAGCCTCCGGCTACGTGTTATAATAAAGACCTTCACAGGTCCTCCGGTTTCTCCTCCGGTAACACGTTCTCCTGCGGAGGGAGCTGGTAGGAACGTTGGTTTGCTCGGTCAATGACCAGGGTCAACAGCGGCACCACCACGTGGTGTATTCCGCAAACATGCCCGACTGTGAGGGCGGGCACAAGCCGGCGTGAGTAGGTGAAACGTTGAGTTTTATAAGGGCACCACGGGGTGACCAGCCCCTCCCCACCCAGCCCCACCCCTCCCAGCCTGCCCCTCCCCACACACCACCCAGCCCCTCCCCACCCTCCCCTCTCCACCCAGCCCCACCCCTCCCACCCTCCCCACCCAGCCCCTCCCCACCCAGCCCCTCCCCTCCCACCCCCCACGCAGCCCCTCCCCACCCTCTCCTCTCCACCCAGCCCCACCCCTCCCATGTTTGGATGCACGACGGACGGACGGACACAATAATCCCCTGTGGGCTGGTGGTGTAACCAGAGGTTCCTACACAGTACAACCCTGCGCTGTGATACAGCGGGGTTGTGATTGGGGCTCGCGAAGGACGCCGCTGCTGCTATTGCTGGGCAGTTGGAGGCAGTCGCCCTCCGGCAACAACGGAGAGCAGAGGAGCGACGCTGACAACAACGAGCGGAGCGCCGGGCGGATAAACGCAGCGGGTTGGCACAAATGGTGGTGCATCTAGCGGTCATCTCAGTCAACCCATGGCACCTTCTGGGTCTGTCCCGTGACCTCCTGTCAGCAGCGAGCCTTTGACAATTCACGTCATGGCCTCAGAGTGCACCTAGCCTGGCACAGGCGCCGTGAATGGGGGGGTGTTGGGTATTGGTGGTTGTGATGCAAATGGACGGTCCCACCACACAGCGGTCAAAGTCGTAACAGCAGTCCAACGACGTGAGCTGTGGAACTCCCTCCCCTCCCTCCCTCCCCTCCCTCCCTCCCTCCATCACCTCCATCACCTCCCTCCCTCCCCTCCCTCCCTCCATCACCTCCATCACCTCCCCTCCCTCCCCTCCCTCCCCTCCCTCCATCACCTCCCTCCCCTCCCTCACCTCCCTCCCTCCCCTCCCTCCCCTCCCTCCATCACCTCCCTCCCTCCCTCCCCTCCATCACCTCCCTCCCTCCCCTCCATCACCTCCCTCCCCTCCCTCCCTCCCTCCCTCCCCTCCATCACCTCCCTCCCTCCCCTCCCACACCTCCCTCCCCTCCCTCCCCTCCATCACCTCCCTCCCCTCTCTCCCATCCCTCTCCCCCCTCCCCCCCTCCCTCCCCTCCATTCCCTCCCCTCCATCACCTCCCTCCGTTGGGGTAGTGATAGGGGTTGGGGTAGTGATAGGGGTTGGGGTAGTGATAGGGGTTGGGGTATTGATAGGGGTTGGGGTAGTGATAGGGGTTGGGGTAGTGATAGGGGTTGGGGTAGGGGTTGGGGTAGTGATAGGGGTTGGGGTAGTGGTAGGGGTTAGTGTAGTGATAGGGGTTGGGGTAGTGATAGGGGTTGGGGTGGTGATATGGGTTGGGGTAGTGATAGGGGTTGGGGTAGTGATAGGGGGTGGGGTAGTGATAGGGGTTGGGGTAGTGATAGGGGTTGGGGTAGTGGTAGGGGTAGTGATAGGGGTTGGGGTGGTGATAGGGGTTGGGGTAGTGATAGGGGTTGGGGTAGTGATAGGGGTTGGGGTAGTGATAGGGGTTGGGGTGGTGGTAGTGGTAGGGGTTGTGGTAGTGGTAGGGGTTGTGGTAGTGTAAGGCGTTGTGAAAGGGTGCAGGGGCAGGGAGTAGCAGTATCGGAATCTGAATATTTATCCCGGAGAAATCCGATGAGCTATAAAGCTCTTTTTCACAGATGGCCAGTAGGGGGCGAGTAAAAATGTTCCAACAACAAACACGATAGGAGTGAAACGTATGACAAAGGTAAACAAAAATCACCCCAAAAGTACACACAAACACCACACTGAGCCATCCTCCATCCTACCGGGCAAAGCCCACTGAGCTATCAACCCATTTGTCAGATTGCGACCTGACCACCAGCGACAGCCGAACAAAGCGGCCCGTCATTCGCCCACTTCACAGCAGCCAAATGTCATCGAAGTCATCTCGACGCAGGATTTCGAACCCCGTGCTTGCCGGAGCTCCGAACGACCCCACGTGTCCTGTGTCTCGCCTTGCAGGCAGCGGCTGCCCCGACCCTCCGCTGCCCTGGGGCATCCTGGGACTCCTCCTGCCCCTCGTGTGGTGAGGGGGGCCACGGGCGGCGGCGGCGGCTGACGCGGTACGGGAGGCTTTCGACGGCCGGTGCCAGGGGCCGTGGAAAGGTTCGGCGTCTGCGGAGGCGGCTTTCGTGAAGGACGCCGCCGCCGCCGGCGGCTCTGGGCAGAGCCGGCGGCGGTGGCGGCGGCTCCCTCCGGCGAGAGTGGAGGGAGCGGCGCTCGCGACGACGAAGCGGAGCGCCGGGCGGCCGCGCCGCGAGCGAAGTTGGCGCAAGGCGGTGGGTGGCGGCTGCCGGTACAACTCGTGGCACCCGGGCCTCTACGCCGCGGCCTCCCGCGAGCGGCCGAGCCTTCGGCGACCACTTGGACGCGGCCCTCGGCAGGCGCACCTGGCCTGGCACGGGCGCCGTGGCGAAGTCGCGAACCCGCGGCAGTCGGTGAAGATCGCGAAGACGACGGAGTGAGGAAGATCGCGACGGGAGACGGTCGCGGGGAGGAAGATGGCGGAGGGCGACCTCCCACGTGACCCCCAACATCACGGGCGCTGCGTTCTCCTCTACCGCAGACCCCGTGTCTCTCTGTCTCTCTCTCTGTCTTTCTGTCTCTATATTTGTCTCCGTCTCTCTTTCTATCTCTCGCTGTCTCCCTGTCTCTCTGTCTCTCTCTCTCTCTGTCTGTCTCTGTCTCTATCTTTGTCTATGTCTCTCTCTGTCTGTGTGCTGGAGGGCCTCCCGCGCACAAGCGGGACAGAGCCGCCAAGGGTGTCCGCGCGGAACGTTGCTCTCAAGCGATTGCCCCTCACCGGGGGAGAGACAAAGGCGGCCGGGCGTGGAGCTGGCCACCCCCCACCACCGCCCTCGTGTGTGCTGTGCCAGCCTTCATTGACGCTGCCCCAGGTCGAGGGCTTCACCGGAATTATTGGGGTTTGTTGTAGGTTGTTTTGTGCTCGCTGCTCTAGCGTCAAATGGAGTTGTACAAAAACAAAATGGTGGACGTTGCCAGGGCAGACGTTGATCCAGCGGGACGGTTTTGCCGCAAGCGCCGTACGTCGCCCTTCGAACGTTCACCGAACGTCGCACGGCAAACGTTCACCGAACGTTCACGGTACGTTCACCGAACGTCGCACGGCCAACGTTCACCGAACGTTCACGGTACGTTCACTGAAAGTTCACCGAATGTCCGTCATTCTTTCTTCGTGGGCCATTTTGCATTCCGACCGTTGTCGTTGTCAAGGGGGAGGGGGTGGGGTGTGTGGGGGTGTGGGTGAGACATGTTGAAAAGACAACATGTGTTGCGTGTAATCTTCATGTTACATGTTTTTGGAGGGAGGGAGGGAGGGGTGTCAACACCGTCCACTTTTAATTCTCGCGCCGCCAAAATCGTCGTCGACGTCGCTGACGTCACATCGCGAGTGCGTTCCGAAGCGCGGCGATTCGTTTCATCGTTTCAAATATATAATTTATATTTTTTTATAATTGTTCAAGTCCTAACGATGGCCAGGTATTGTTTTGAAGCGGTGGTCCATTAACCTGGGGGGGCAGGGGGCGGGTGGGGGGGGTGCACGCTGCACCACCTGGGTAGTGCGAGAAGCCCTTCCTGGGGGGGGGTAGCGAGCGAGACACGGACAGATTTGTGATGAAAAGTTAAATCATCGAAAACGCGAATTAAGCACCCGGGTGCACGTCAGGTTACAACTTACCTAGTTTAATCAAACCCTACCTACTTACTACTACGTGTTTGTTGTTAACATTGTACATCGTTTTGTTTTTAGTAATGATCGATAGCCAATTCTGCAGGTTGTGGTGGACCCCACTGGGGGGGGTTGAAATCGCTGTTTGTGCGGAACGATTCCTCGTCCCGCTGAGCGGACAGCCGCAGCCACACGTGGTGCATCAGCAGCAGCAGGAGCAGACGCAGCAAAAGAAGCAGCAGCAGAAAAAGCAGCAGCAGAAGAAGCAGCAGAAGTAACAGCGGCAGCTGCAGCAGCAGAGGCAGCAGCAGAAGCCATAGCGGCAACAACAGCAGCTGTAGCTGCAATAGTAATAGTAAGAGACAGCAGTAGTAGCAGCAGTAGCAAGAGAGATAGCAGCAGCAGTAGTAACAGCAGCAGTAGTAGTATTAGCAGCAGCACTAGCAGCAGTAGTATTAGCAGTAGCAGTAACAACAGCAGTAGTATTAGCAGCAGTAGTAACAGCAGTATTATCAGCAGCAGTAGTATTAGCAGTAACAGCAGGAGTAGTAGCAGCAGTAGTAACAGCAGTAGTAATGGCAGCAGTAGTAACAGCAGTAGTAATAGCAGCAGTATTATCAGCAGTAGTATTAGCAGTAGCAGTAACAGCAGCAGTAGTAGCAGCAGTAGTAACAGTATTATCAGCAGCAGTAGTATTAGCAGTAGCAGTAACAGCAGCAGTAGTATTAGCAGTAACAGCAGGAGTAGTAGCAGCAGTAGTAACAGCAGTAGTAATAGCAGCAGTAGTAACAGCAGTAGTAATAGCAGCAGTATTATCAGCAGTAGTATTAGCAGTAGCAGTAACAGCAGCAGTAGTAGCAGCAGTAGTAACAGTATTATCAGCAGCAGTAGTATTAGCAGTAGCAGTAACAGCAGCAGTAGTAACAGCAGAAACAACAACAAATAAAAACAACACGCACGAAGTGTTGGGGGGAGGGGTGTTGGGGGGAGGGGTGTTGGGGGGAGGGGTGTTGAGGGGAGGGGTGTTGGGGGGAGGGGTGTTGGGGGGAGGGGTGTTGGGGGGAGGGGTGTTGGGGGGAGGGGTGTTGGGGGGAGGGGTGTTGGGGGTGGAGGCTTCAACGCGCGTCGCGTCGCCCCTGCTGCTGGGAGGCGTCGTGACCCCCCCACCCGCCCGCGACGCGTGGAGCCACCGCGTGGAGCCAACCACGTGATGCCACCGCGCGATGCCACCGCATGGAGCCAACCACGTGATGCCACCGCATGGAGCCAACCGCGTGGAGCCAACCACGTGATGCCGCCGCGCGATGCCACCGCATGGAGCCACCGCGTGGAGCCACCGCGTGGAGCCAACCGCGTGGAGCCACCGCGTGGAGCAAACCGCGCAATGCCACCGCGCGATGCCACCGCGTGGAGCCAACCGCGTGGAGCTTTGTGCGCGGGGTGCGGCGGGCGAGCGGACGACTCGGAGCGCCGTCAACCCCTCTGTGCACAGGGCTCGACCCAGCGGTGGCACCTCGAAGCTGAGCCAGCTCTCGGAAGTTCCACGTTCCCGTGGCGGGAGGGCGAGGGTGGCTGGGGTGGGAGTCCACAACTCTCGCCGCGGCCCAGGAATTATTTGGCGAAGTTGTCTGCGAGCGAGGGACCTCTTGGGAGACGCCCTCTTGAGCCGCAGTGAGCCTCTGCTACTTCACGAACTTCGACGTCGATACATTTTGGTTTTTTCCCGCGGCCTCAAGAACTACCGTTATTTTATCCGCAAATGCAATAAACACTTCTCTGATAGACGTGTGCGAGTGTGCACGCGTGTGTATGTGAGAGTGCGTGTGTGAGTGTGTGTATGTGAGCGTGCGTGTGTGAGTGTGTGTATGTGAGCATGCGTGTGTGAGTGTGTGTATGTGAGCATGCGTGTGCGTGTGGGGAGCGGTTCGTGTAGCGGTCAGCGCTGATGACCGCTACATGAACCTGGCGACCCGGGTTCGATTCCCGCACACGGCCAACACCGGTGACGATTATCCTAACCGGTCCTGGGCCTCCCCTAGGTCGACTCAGCCTCAAATGAGTACCTGGTGCGGTATGTAAACGTCGCCGCTGGGGAGACAAAGGCGGTCGGGCGTGGTGCTGGCCACCCACTCCCTCGTGTACCGTGCCGGCCTTCATAGGTGCTAACAGGACTTGCCCCAACAGTCTGGTACGGCTATATACGGGGGATCTTTGTGTTTGTGTGTGCATGTGTGTGTGAGTGTTAGTAGCGGTTAAACAACCCCCTACCTCCTCGCGGTGCCGGACGGGCAACTCTGTCGTGGACAGTGCTGTGGGGGGAGGGCCAATTCCGATTGGCCCCTCCCCTCATGGCGTCTGTGACCACCACAGGGGCTAAACGGGGGCTCTGGATGGGTGCGAGGGGCTGGTAACCCCTCCACCTTCAAAATTTACCACGAAACCACGAATTAAAAATGTAACTAATAAGCTTGTGCCGCAGGCCCCGGGGGGACAGGCGTCTATGACGTCTCCTGGCCAAACCCCAATTGGCGGAGCCAGGAGATTGAATCTCTACCCTCAGGGCTCCTCCAGAAACAACGAAAAGCCACTTCGTGTGGCCACGTGGAATGTTCGAACGCTCACTGCGGAGGAGAGGCTGCCACTCCTCTGTCGGGAGCTGGACCGGTACCGCCTGGATCTCTGTGGCATTCAGGTGGACCGGTGCTGGCTCCTGCCATCATGAGGGGTGGACAGTCCTTTACTCGGGCCAGCAGACTGCCAAACAACAGGGTGTGGTTCTTCTTTTGAACAAAAGAATGAAGGGGGCGTGGGAGCGTGGCGGTGAGGTGTGGGAAGCTGTAAGCCCCAGGCTACTTTGGGCTCGCCTTCCCATCAACCGGAAGCGAGGAGTGGTGGTCATGGTTAGTTATGCTCCCACCGAAGACGAACATCCATCGAGGGATACAGGCAAAGCCGATGAGTCAGATGCCTTCTATGACCTCCTGTCACAGGTGCTGGCTAAAGTGGCCCCTTGGGATAGAGTCATCTTGTTGGGTGACTTCAATGCCCAAATTGGTCATGATGCTGGCACCTGGTCTGGAGTAATTGGAGGGCAATAACAACGGTAGGAGGCTGCTAGATTGTTGTGCAGCCCATTGGCTTGTAATTACTGACACGCTGTTCCGGCATCGGCGCATCCACACATCATGGATCCATGCCGGGCCCAAGCAAGAACATCTGCTGGACTACAAAGTGACGGACCAGCAGATACGAGCCCATGTCCTTGACACCAGGACCTACTGTGGAGCTGATCTGCCCTATGACCATCGACTTGTCATCTGTAAGATGCACCTGCCATTCTTCCACTCCGGTCGTGGGTGTACACCCAGGACCCCATTCCAACGTAAAGTGGCCTGGTCTCAGATATCTGGTGAAAGTTGCAAGCGAGAATTTCATCATCGCTTGCGGCTGGGGATGGCATCGTCCCCCACTCCTCCTGATGTCGAGGGTAAATGGGCGAGGTTTAGGACTGTGACTCATGCAACTGCAATGGCTGCTTTGGGTACGCAGTCCAGACCTTCCCAGAGACCCTGGCTGACAGAGGTGCTTGGGATGGTTGAGAAAAAGAGACAGGCCCACTGTCATCGGCTACAGAATCCTACGTCAGAGAATGAGGAGGCTTACCGCAGCCTTCGCTCGGAGGTTCGGAGAGCCGTGAGGCGCTGCAAGGATGGGTGGTGGTCGCCGGTTGCTGAGGAAATGGAGTCTGCCTAGTGGCCCGCGATCACAAATCTCTATTCAACTCCATCAAAAAAGTAACCTGCAGCGCCACACCTATTACCATCATTTGGGGAAAAAACGGTGATCCAATCTCCGACCCCCAGGAACAGGTTTGCAGATTTGCTGAGCATTTCTGTGAGGTCCTGGGGGAGGGGAAATCCCTCAGCCAGGAAAACATCGTGGCACAAAGTGGGGATGACACTGCTGAGGCTGCGGTGCCTCAAACATTGGAAGAAGTCACCCCCTGTGAGTGGCTGGCTGAGGTGCCATCTGTTGAGGAAGTACTGAAGGCGATCTAGAGTCTGAGACCAGGAAAGGCACCGGGCAGAGATGATCTCTCAAGCGAAAGGCTGAGGGAGGGTGGCGTTTGTGCACAGACTGCCCTATATGACATCATAACAACAGTCTGGACCACTGGACGGGTTCCGCAGGATTGGAAGGATGCCCTGGTGGTCCCCCTCTTTAAGAAGGGGGACCGCACAGACTGTAACAACTACAGAGGCATCTCACTCCTCGGTGTGCCGGGAAAGGTCCTGACAAGGATTGTTCAACATCGCCTTGCCAGGCACGGTGAGGAGAGGCTTGCGGAGCCCAAATGCGGTTTCAGGAAAGGGCGGTCCTGCACAGATGCCATATTTTCTGTCCATCTGCTACAACAGAGGTGTAGGGAATTCCAGCATGACCTACATCTCTGCTTTATTGACCTGGTCAAGGCCTATGATACCATCAGTAGGCCTGGGCTCTGGGTTGTTCTTCGTGCTTTGGGGCCCCTGACCCTCTGCTCACTATCATTAAGGACCTTCACGATGGTGAGCGGGCCCGGGTAAAACTACGTGGCCGGGAGTCAAAGCCATTCCATGTACACGTTGGGATGCGACAGGGATGTCCTCTGGCTCCCACATTATTTAACATCCATTTTGACCACGTAGTTCGTGAAGCCTTCAATAGCTGTACCGGGGGAATCTCCATTTGGTACAAATGTAATGGGAGGCTGATCGATGCCCGGGTGCGGTCAAGGGATGGCTCCCTATTGCTCAACCACATTATGTATGCCGATGATTTGGTAATAGCTGCTCATTCAGAGGAGTAGTTGGAGACACTGCTGCTGAGACTGGAGCGTGCCACTAAGAGATGGGGCCTTACCCTCAGCCCCACCAAAACTAAGCACCTACCTGGGTATTTTGTACCATCGGACACTCCACCCCCACAACTCCCAATCGGTGATGGGGCAGTTGTGGAGAGAGTGGAGAGTTTCCCATATCTGGGCAGTGTGCTTATGACTGGCTCCAGTTCAACAGCAGAGGTCTCACTCCGAATCAGTCGAGCGGCAATATATTTTCATCGGTTGCGTAGCGCTGTGTGGAAGCTACCTGGTCTGTCGCTCTGCACTAAGCTTCAGGTCTTCTCGGCCACGGTCATTCCCTCCCTTCTCTACGCTTGCGAAACGTGGACCCCCCTAATGGAACATCTTCGCCGGTTAGAAACATTTCGGCTAGCCTGCCTAC